GCCACAGACACTGTGTGCTTGGTGCTCTGTTGCGAGGAAGATCCCTCTGTGTGTGTTTGTGCTATATTTCTATGCTATACCTTCCTCTCTCCCTTCCCTTCTTTCCTCCCCTCCTCCTCACCTCTCCTCTCCCATCTCCTCTTGTTTCTCATCTTTTCCTCTTCTCTTGTCATCTCTTTTCCTCTTCCTCTTCCTTCTTATGTCACCTTCTTTCTCCACTCTAGTCATAACTATAGCATACAGTATAATTAAGTGATTTCCATCAAAACGCAAAAAACATCCTCTCAAAGTTGCATTTATATGAATTGTAGTTAATATATAGCCAGCAATGCATCATGACAGATGATACTTCATGTTTCTTTCTTTTTTTTTACCTGCAGGGGTTTCCTGCTCTGATATTCCCGAGCTGCTCAGTGTTTCTGCTCTTACCTCAGATACACTGGTTTTGAGAATGTTTTGTTGCACATACAATGACTGACCAGTGGGTGGCAGTGTATGGGAAGATGCACTGATACTGTGCTGGCTCATGTGCAACTACAGCATCAAAGCCCATGCATATACAAGAAAATGGCATTTGAAGAGCTGTCCACTGTAGTGACCACTGTGCATGAATGTGTTTGTAATATAACCACTGTGTTTATCCAACTATCTCATGTCTAAACGTCTGCTATGCAAAAGGCCGATTATGTGCTATGTTGCTTTTGTGTCAGTTAATAAAAAAAACAAGCATCCGAATGCTCACGACCTGCTAGGATCCCAATCTTTGCTTCAGCTATATGTTTCTATATGTCTCATATAGTATCATACAATAGCCATTTATCTGCAAAACCTGTTATCTATAAATTCATCCATTTGATTAAATTATAGGTGCCCATGTTAATATGCCCATCCTCTGGATATACAGTGGATGGACGCAAACACTGGATCTGAAATGAAACAATGACTAAGGTCAAGTGACTTCTGACTTTCTGACTGTCTTTAATGGGGTAATGGGTTTAATGGATAATGACCGCTACTGCTATAATACTAATACTCTCTTTCTACAGACTTCTTCCCCTTCTTAGTTCTGCTGTGAGGGTGACTTGACTGTTTTTACTTGGTCTTCCTTGTGAGTTTCATGTGAAATCTCAATCTTCCATCTGCAAGTCAGGATGTAGAGACAAAACAACACAAGCTCTCAACTTTAATTGTAAACAATGTGCACCAAGATACCTCATTAATACAGATTTACTGTCTATTGTAATGAATTCTAATTAAGTACTTTATGAAAATGTATCGTCTTCTTCTAATATACTGCATATTCACCAGCTGGCTGCTGAAATGCTTAGTGCTCGAGTTTGGCAGGTTTATGAAATATAACATGGACCTTGAGGGAATAAGAGCAGGGGTTTTACAAAACACAACAAAGGCCATGTATTCAATGAGTGATGCGATCAAAGGATGTTAATGTATTCAAAAGTCAAAGCTGCCATCCTTAAAGCATAAAAAAAACACTTCTTCTCCTTCTTACTTGTGCTGTGAGGGTGACTGTTGAAATCACCATGTTCAATCTGCAAGTCAAGATGAAAAGTCAAAAGCAAAGCAAGCTGTCTGAGTGGTTTTAAAGATAACATTGTAAAGTGTTAACAATATGTGCAAAGGTACTCCAAAATATGGATCCCTGTATATTCAGAAATCAAATTAAGCAGCTCTTGTGAAGCTCTGTGAATCGACGTTTAATTGTTGTTGACACTGTGTCAGAGGGGTGTTGATAGAGCTCTTTCAGTAAATATATATTTAGCTTGTGACTGTTGAAATGTGTTTTTGGTCTGTCTGTGTCTTTGTGCCTGATAAAAAAAAAAAAATATGTAAAGTATGTATGTAAGTAAAATGTATCTCCATGACAGGGCAGTAATCTATTTTATTATTTGCATAAATTATAGTTTAATTTTAGTAAAATTTCCCTGCTGTCACTTTATGGAGGGCACTGGCAGCAACGGTTGGTAAATGATTAAAACATTTGTTGAGCACTGCAGCCAATGGGGTTGACTTGATAAGCTTTCATCAGAAGATTACTAACTGTTGTAATAGGAAGGCAAACATTAGACGTCAACGGCATCGATGGCTCCTCTGCTTCTCCTTTTGCTTTCTGTCAGTGAGTATTTAAAAACGTTATCTACATTGTCTTTTACTCTTCTGATCCTTACTTTAAAAATACCATATGTTAATATTCTTTTAAATAATGAGTTTTGAATTGTATAAATCCATTGCATACACTGTTATTGTGCGTATCAATCCCCATTTCCCTGTGGCTAGCAATGTGTGCATTTGTCTGTATGGTGTAAAATTACTTTATATGTTTTTATTCAAATTGCAGCAATAGCCCCACCCAAGCCCCTCCCACAACTTGTAAAGTTACTTTATATATTAAACTTGTATTAGGTTTTTGAAAATCAGGTTCACAAATGTTCTCAACACATTTGTTAGACCAAAAGGATACACACAACTCCACAGGGCATCTTTAAGCTGGGGTTACAGTTGTGCTCTGAAGGTTATGTGTACAAATTTCATTACCACTCAATGTTGCACTAAAGTATGAGCATCTCAGACCAAAGCAATGGCCGCTACAGCCCACCAGACTCCATTGACAAAACCAGTAATTTTATCTCGCAGATAAATGTAAAACACTCTTCAAACATGACAAGAACAAAATAAAACTCACCAAAACCATCTCTGTTAGTCTTTCCATAGTTCCAACAATCACCAAAGCTAGCTTGGTTGAAGTAAACTCTTAATTTAGTTATCTGCCTGACAACATTATCAAAAGGATCACCACAGAGACCTTTTGTTTGGCCAGAAACAACTGCTATATCGCTTCTGCTCGCCCCCAGACTCAACTGACAAAAACTTTAATCCTACCTAATATTTCATTGTAACATCATAACTTAATTTAAAGTGGACAGAGAAACTGTCTAAATCCTTAGTTTATCGAGGTACATGAGAAAACAAACAGGCATTTCAGTCACTTTCCTCACAGCCAATAGTGTCACTCACATGGTCTCCTAATGTGGAATCCCCTTTTTTTGTTCCACTAAGAGCATGTAAGGTGTTTTCAGAATGAAAATCTGCAGTCACCTAGTGGAGGATTTGTCTGTTTCAGGCATCACAGGAAGCACAGTGGTGGATCTGCAGAAGAGAATCATTGGAGGTCAACCATGTGAGCGCCAGTACCACGTCAAACTTAAAAGAGTTGCTGCTGGTGGATCATCCAACATGTGTGGCGGCTCTCTGATCAGTGACCGGTGGATTTTGACTGCAGCGCACTGTTTGAAGCCAGGAAGGTGAGAAAAGTAACACTTAAAATACTGTTACATCGAATGCTAAACATATACAGACTAATACACAGGTTATACACTCCCTGTTTTGGTATTCTTGAGAGGAAAAGATAAAGATAAAAGAGAGAAATGTATTCTTCTTTAATCTCTTCCTGCATACAGAACTATGTTTGCAGGTTTAGGTGTGCATCCAGAGGGTCTAGCACAAGAAGTGCAAATCACAGCAGAACCAGTGATCTATGCAGACAAAGACAACAGGTTCCATGATATCATGCTGCTGCAGCTACCTGAGCCCACTAAGATTCAACCTGTAGCTCTTCCTGACTGTGAATATTATCCTAAAATGTGAGTTGCAATTTTTTCACTTAAGAAAATAGTGCTGCTATTTCGATATAACATAATCCACTTGTTGTTGTTAATTGTTATTTTCCAGGGTTGAGATTGCAGGTCACGCTGCCACTAGTGGAGGCCCAAATAAAGAAAGAAGTGAGATGAGTTTTGATAATTGAATAAAGTATTGAAGTTTTTTCATACATTTTTTAAAATTATTTTTATTTTACTGTAGTCTGTAACTGTACAAACTATGCACATTAAATCAATTTCTCTGTTGTACTAAAACTGTATTATTATTTACATACAAAGAAACATACATTAGCCAGTGGGCTGAGAAAGTTTAGTTTTTTATGCAGTTCTGCGTAAAATAAAATACATTAACAAAATAAAATGTTCATTATAAATTCTTCAAACAAGTTTATTTCAAAAATGTTGCTCTTCTTCTCTAGTACCCAGTTCATCCCCTACTCTCCACTGTGCAGACATTGGACGGTTGCTCAGCTGTGAAAACCTCAACAAAACCTGGCCAGGCAACATTTCCAAAAGGTCTTACCAAGTCAAGCAGTATCACACTGGTTCTGTGGCCAAACACCTGGGGTGGATATATGTTATGTGGGTTAATACTGTGCTCTCCTGTAAATAATACATCTACTTTTAATAAAGTTGCCAACCATTTAGAATATAAGTAGTTCAATTACACAATAATTATATTACATACGTACACTATCTTTCTCTCTCACAGGGGATTCGGAGGAGGAGCTGGTGTACGAGACAAGATT